CATTGAGATGGGTTGCATGTGTCACAGGATGACCTCAAACTCACCACCTCCTGTCTCTAGTAACTGATTGCTGGGTGTGTGATTTCTTGCTAAGTTTATATGGTGCTGGAGGTTGACGCTGAGGCTTCCTGAGTGCTGAGCAACTGAGCTACTCCCCAATACCCTGATGTAGATACTTTCTTGTGTGTGTGTATGTGTGTGTGTGTGTGTGTGTGTGCGCGCGCGCGCGTGCGCGCGCACGCGTGCGCACACACACACATTTAGGCATGTGAAAGCCAGATGTTGATGTTTAGATGTCTTCCTCACTCACTCTACTTATATTTTTCTTTGAATTTATTTGTTTATTTAGTGTGTGTGTGTGTGTATATATACATCAGAGAACAACTTGTAGGAACTGGACAGTGTGGGTCCTAGGAATCAAACTCAGACCATCACTAAGCAGCAAGCACCTTCAGCTGATGAGCCATCTTGCCAACCTTTCTCTTCCTTCGTTCGTTCCTTCCTTCCTTCTTTCCTTCCTTCGAGACAGAAACTGGCTGTCCATTGGAGATGCCAGGAGCCACCTGACCCTCTGAGTCTGCCCTCCACCCAGCACTGAGTCACAAGCACTTGCCACCACACCTAGCTTTTCAGAGTGTTGAAGATTAAGACCGGGCTTCTGTGCTTATACAGCAACACTTTAACCCTGAGCCATCTTCCTAGCCTGTTTTTACATTTTGATATTGGGTCCTCTGTGTCCCGTGCAAAGACATCACTCCAGCATCTCTGTCCTTGTCCTGTGGCTGTAAACAACACTGGCAATGCTTTCACAGCCTTGATGTCCTCCCTCTGGCCCTAGGGCCCCTGCCTTCCAGTTCTGGAAACCAGCCTATACCCTTCCTCCCAGAGCCTATTGGGCTCCACATTGATCCACTTTGATCCTGACCGAGACTAATGGGTTCCCCAGGCTCCTCAGCTCAGCTTTGGCAGGCATGCCTGCTGCAGGGCCAGCATCCTGTCCCCATCCTACAGGAGACAAAGACTGGGGTGGAGGTGGTGGAAGCATGAAGACAGCAGAGTTTAACCCCTGTGAGTGCAGCTGTGCTTGGTAAACCCTTAGTTCTAGAACAAAGATGTGAGGAGAACAGCAATAAGCGTGCTTTCTCTTCTGCCAGTCTCCCACTGCCCAGAACAAAAAGTACCAACTTCTGGAACCTTTGAGATGGCTCAGCAGGTTCAAGTGCTTACCACCAAACATGACAACCTGAGCTTGAAGCCCAGGACCACATGGTGGAAAAAGTAACTGATTCTGGAAAGTGTTCTCTAACTTTCACATGAGCATGTATGTGCACATGCATGTGAACACACACAAACACACACACACACACACACACCAAAATTAATTTAAAACTTTTTTAAGTATTCTGTTATTGGCTTTTCAGAATCTGAGACCCCCTAAGCTGGAAATGCATCCCCTTTTCTTCTCCCCACTTCCCATCCATGGTTTAATCCCCTAGACAGTAGTCCACAAAAGGGCCTTCCCAGGGCTTCTTTGCCTCCAGTGACTGGGAGCTGAACTGCCACATGTGCAGTCCATTGCATCTTTAGACAGTGAAATGGAAGATGCTTCCCTAGTGTGAGCAAGCCTGTCTCCCTGTGATGTCCAACCCCTCACAGTCCTGAGGCTTCTATGACCAAGCCTGTCTTCTGATTGCCTTTCCCGTTGTCACATTCCTTCCTTCACGCTGCTTGTTTGGTGACCATGTGACAGGTCTTGCTGCTGCTCCCCTGGCCTCAGAGTTATGTCTCCCAGTTGCTGATTCAGTTCAGTCCAACAAATATGGTGCCCCTGCCCTTACTGGGGATATGCAAAAATGTTTGAAAGTGTTCCCTGCATTTCCCGAGAGAAGTCATTCAGGTACATAATATTGTAATTGGATGGTCCTGACTCACATGGTCTGACTTACATTTTCCTACTTTTACCATTGTGCAAAGGCAATGCACCACCAGTGGAAACATTTTTGAGGGGCTTTTGAGATGACTCTGTGGGTAAAGCTCTCCCACACATGCGTGAAGACCTGAGTTTGTGTTCCTAGCACCCACATAAAAACTTGGGAGTAGCCACGTGTGCTTTGAAATCTCAGGGCTAGGGAGGTAATAACAAGGGAAGCCTTGGGCTTATTGGGCATCAGCCTAGCTGAATCAGTGAGCTTCTGTCCAGGGAGAGGCTCTGTCTCAACAACTGAGGCAGAAAGAAGTTGAGGGAGACACTTGACATAAACACCCCCCATACATACCACACTTAAAAGTTTGATTTGGATCCCTTCTGTGGCTAATGGTATTAGTTCCTACACTTTTTTGGGATACTGGCCAGTGACAGTAAGTCATGTGATCATAAGGGGGAAACTCCCATACTAGATTGTGCTGTGTGTGGCCATACTAGATTGTGCTGTGTGTGGCGTTGCTGAGCCCCTATGTTCCAGTAGCAATGTGTGCAGTCCGTTTTCAGATTGGGGTAGCTCCAGCTGACAATGGCCTTAACAGGACAGAATGCCTTGGAAATCCAGGGGACTACATACACTGGCAAATACTTCATGTGATTTACCAGCAGGGGCTATGTTTTAGGGGCGAGTGTTGGTGAAGGGGGAGACTGGGTGAAGATGGAGAAAGGAGAGATGTGTTTCGGAGGACGGCAGGAAAGTGCAAGGAGAGCCTAACAAGATTCCCAGAGCCCCTTCTGGGTGACTCACGCCTCGGTGCTGCTTTACTCACTCTACACGGTAACCTTTCTCCTGGTTTCCTGGGCACGGAGACATAGTGGGCTGGGGTTCATTCAACTTCTAAATTTTAATCCCTCTGGTGTCAGCGATCACCCCATGTCCAGGACCTGACCAAGGCTTTGTGCCCTCCACCCTGACCTCCTGGTGAAAATGGTGCCTTTTGGGTCATAAGTTCAAGCCTTTGTCTGGTGGGGACTTGCCTCTGATATCACCCCAGAGGAAGGGGGAAGTGCCTTCTCTCTCTCTACCCTGCAGCTGGGACAAAAGGAGGCTGCTCCCAAAGAAGTCCAAATCCATTCAGGCCACTAAACAAAGCAGGAATGTGACTCAGTTTCACTCTCCACTTGACTTACTTAAGCTCCTGAGGGCAGGATCCAGTGTGTGTGCCTGCTGTTTGTGTATATAGAGTCCCCCACTGACGCACCTCCTCCAATAAGGCCACACCTCCCTATCTTTCCAAAGCTGTCCCACCAACTAGGGAAGGAGAATTCAAAGATATGAGCCCATGTGTGCCATTCTCTTTCAGACTCACAACATGCCACGTGGCCCTCATTTGTGAAGCAGGTTATTCCAACTCTGCCCATCACTCACCAGACAGCCCCCAGCTCCCTGAAGGACTTTCGCAAGACAGGGAGCAGGAAAATGGGTGGGCTACACTTTCCCAGGCTTCTTCCTCCATCAAGCTCCCACTCTGGTTGCTTGTTTCAAAATAAAACAAAAGAAGACTCTTTCTTGTTAAAAACAAACAAACACACCAAGTGTTGGTTTCCCTCACTTAAGTCCCCAGATGCATGCCCATGTCTCCGGGAATGCTGTATAGACACAGTACTCACTGCCACTTGCTTTGTCCCAAGAGAGGCGGGTGGAGATCAGAAATTGGGAAATCCCGTTCCAGCTGTGTCCTTCTCATGTGTGACTGGGCAAGTCACAGCATCTGTCTATGACACGAAGAATGGATGGATGTTCTTCAGTGCCGCCTCTGAATTATGACAATTGTCTTTGAGCCTCAGGAGAGTACAAGAAAGAATCTTCATGGGTTGCATTGAAGGCACCTCTCAGTTGAATACTCTGCTAGCCAGTGCCGAAGCTGGCAGCACAGGGAATCTAGAGTGGTAGAAAATCACTACCGCCCACAGAATGAGGTGTGTTCCTTACCTCCCAATCCTCCTTGGAACTTGGGGATTTTAATACTTTATAGTATTGTTATGAAGACTTACATAAGATAAGCCATGCAAAAATTTTAGTACATTGGCAAGAGAATAATAAGGTTTGATAAGTGCTACTCCTGTCATTGCTTTGTGAGCAAATGCCTGCAGGAACCTTTCTACCAGACTCAGGACTATTGGGTCTGGGGAAATGGCCCTCCTGCCACACATCTATCCTCCCCATGGCCTGCTTTGGCAAGGACAGACAAAATTAAAGCCCTCTAGTCTCAGTGACTTTACTCTGGATTGTTTCTTTCCACCAAGACACTTGGCATCCACTAGCTGGGGGTAGGGGAGCGGAAGAAAAGGATCCTTAGCTCAGGGTATCCCTTTGCCATTTGTTTTTGAGCCCAGGCTTGCTGCTGTTCAACGCCCTTTCTGTTCTGATTGTGGTGGTGCCTTCTCTTAGAGCAGCTGGGGGCTCTGAGGAGTTCAAAGAGGATTGCTAAGACTCTTTCCTGGGCCTCGGGATCTTGAGGGAACTGCTCTGCCACTGTGAGAATGGAAACAAGGGCTTTTCTTGATGGAGTTTGATGGAATACTTCTAGATCTTCCTGAGCCTGGAAGAAGTGTACAGTGCATGGTTTCACACCATACAACCCTGGGAGCTGCTTGCTGTCCTTCTTAGAAAAGGGGCTGAGGCCTAGACAGCTGGCTACATGGGACGGTTCTGGAAGTGAGGGAAGAGACTCAGTGCTGGTGCTCTCTGATCAAGTTCTCGGTTACTGGGCACAGCACTTCAAGGAAAGCACTGGGGGCTCTTTTACCTTGTGCTGCATTCTTGAAGGGGCCACATGTTCTACTCTGGAAGCAAAGAACTACTGGGGAGCTGGTGGGAACTTATGGGTGCTCCTCATAGTTAGACGGCATAACCAAAGCCCAGGAGGCAGAGAGACCTGCTTGGGGTTTAAAGACATCCCTAGCACTAGCTCTGAGCTGCCTCCAGCCTTAGTCGTCATATGCCTTGCTGTTTGCCGGAGCATCTGTGGAGGCAGCTCTGCAGATCCTCGGGGCCTTCATCCTTTTCTCCTTCCAGGCCTTTTAAACCTGGAGAAGCTGCTGCGGCAATTCCTTATCTCCAAGGATACACTCTCAGTCCGGATGCTGGATGACACGCGAGACCCCACTCCGCTCCTCAAGGAGATCCGGGACGACAAGACAGCTACCATCATCATCCATGCCAATGCCTCCATGTCCCACACCATCCTCCTGAAGGTAGGAGCCTGGCTGCGGTGGGTGCTGGGGAGTGTAGTGCACCCTCTTTGTCTTTCCTGACTTGATCTATGATTGTTCCTTGATCCTGGGCTGGATATGAATGCTGATTCCTCCTCTGTCTACTTCTGTTTCCATGGACACCAGTCCCTCCAAAGAGAAAGCAGGATGATGGTGCCACTCAGAAACACTTAGCATCTGGTGGGGCTGAGAGACCAGTTGGACCTAGAGTCAGATTTGAGAGGCTCTGGTGGAGGCCACTTGTCAGACAGTGTACACACGGCACCACTCCTCAGCCCTGACAGAGTTTCAACGGTTTGCAAAGTGCCTCCCTATCATTTTACAGCACAGTCCTCTCCAAGGTGATGTGAGATGGGTATGTTGTTGTCTTCATTGTGTAGGTGATAGAGCTGAGGTCCTGGGACATTAGCAGCTATCAGAAGCCAACCCTGTGGGAACCTGGGTTGAACACACCTAGCTTGTTCTCTCCCCTAGGGCAGGCTTTCTGAAAAGGTTTGTGATGACCTAGAGTGATGGCCAAACAGACATAGGCACATGGATTAGAGAGGCAGGTCTCAGAGAGAGAGAAGCCAGGAAACAGCTGGACAGCTGAGGTGCCGCCTTGTACCAGTCCCTGGGCTAAGCATGTGTGTCAGAGAGCAAGTCTTGCTCTAGGCTATTCCTTGGCTCTTCAGCAGTTCCCATAAGTGCTCAGACACATTGACCTCTCTTAATGCTATTTTAATAGCACATTTAAACACAACCTGCCATCTTCCAATGGGGTAGCCAGACTCCTCATTAACCTCTGCCTGGTTGTGCTGAACCCGAAAACACTCAATATCTGTCTATTTCTCGCCTTTCTTTTCTACCTCTTTCTTCCCTTCCTTCCCTGCCCAGGTCTTTTTTTCCTCCTAAAACTAAAAGTTAACCTGATATTTGAATGAGTTTTCTCAATATCCAGGGCTTTCCCTTCAGCCTGTTGCTATAGTAATTTTCCACAGCACCAAAACCACATCTGTCTATGAACACTCAACTTATAAAAGAGCACTTGAATACACACATATACTCACACACACACACACACACACAGGTAGACACACACAGAAGGACACAAACACACACAGAAAAATATACAGCAAGACATGAACACAAAGAGATACACAAACAGACATATATGCACAGAGAGACACACACAGATGCATAGACAGAGACACACACACAGACACAGTCATACACAGAGACAGGAGCACACATAGATGCACAGACACACAGACATACACATACAGACACAGTCCCACACACCTCTTTTTGTCTTTTTTTCTCTTCCTTCTCACATGGAGATATTATCAGTGATATTATTAGGAATGAAAAGGCTCCTGTAGGTTTTAGGGGATGAGAGAAGTAGGGGTCATCTTTAGGGGTAAGAGCTTCAGCTGAGAAAACAGAAGTCCTCCCAGCATCCCTCTAGAGAGCAGAGGCGGGAGAGAGGGTGGTTCTCCCCAAGAGTGTTCCCTGACTCCTGACATAGCAAATTGAATTCCCCCGGCTCCCCACCCTACCCCCACCTCACTAACATTCTGAATTCATTGCTGAGATTTTCAAAAAAAGTACAGAGAAGAAAATAAATGTCACTCACAACCCATTGCCCAGCCTTAACCTTTCCTAAAATTTTAATGTCTATTCTTTCTGTTTCGGCCATTTTTTCAGTTATCCCCCTACTGCTTAAAACTTTGTGTAAGCAGCCATTCTCTATGCTCAACTATGTATCTTGCATTTTCCCACGTCATTAAATATTTCTCTACAAATATTTTAGTGGCTATATCATTTCCTATCATGCCAATGTCCCATAATTTATTTAACTATCCCTTCATCTTTGTAGAAATAGGTTGTTTCCAATCTTTTGCTATGATAAATAATGTGAGGGCACACATCTTCATACATTAATCTTCCTGCACGTGCATTCATGCATATTTCTTTAGCATATGCTTCTCAAAGTGGAATGCCAAGTTCAAGCGATACACGCACCAAAAGAGTTTGAGATGACTTGCCACTGTTAACCGTTTACATGCTCAGAAGTGGCACACAGTGCACCTTTGCCAATACTGGAATGTTCCTTTAAACATAGCTTGTGTTTTCCCATTTCTTAGGGCTTTTCTGCAGGAGGAGGAGGAGGCTCTGTGATGGATGGATGTATTTCTTATTGCATCATGCCTCCGAAGGCAATTGTCTATGATGATCCCCATTAGCAGACAGCTGTTCTGGGTATCCCATAGCCATTCTTTCTAACTCCCCTTTCTACCTACATTCTTGTATTTTTACAGCCAAACTGATTCATGAGCAGGGACACTTTGGGGAAACCAGTTTCCTTGCTTCCCACCTGACATTCTGGTAGCCACAGGCAGGCAATCTCTCTGGCAAGCCTGACCTTTATCCTTGGGCTTCCATGGGACTCCATGTTCCTCTCTCTGGGGGATCCCAGGGGCTTTCTGGAACCCTGCTGTGCACATGGGAGCCAGGGTCCGGTTGGCAACTCTTGGCATCTTCTTGATTTCAGAAGTCTTTGCACAATAATCCCCTACTTTACTGAGTGGCTGTCCTGGTGACAAACTCCATGTTTACTCAGAATTCATGTCTTAAAAATCTAGGATCTCTTGTCTTTTATCTCTAGGGCAGCAGGTTTCACAAAATGTATTTTAACTTCTGACTGTGCCCCTTAGCCTGCTTCTGGATGGATGATCATAGCAATAGTTCATGTGGGTCTAGGCCGCCTCTGAGGCAGTGGACCTCTCATAATAAACATGTGAGAGGGTGTGGTAGGCTGTGGATGGAGAGAGACATCTTGCCTGTCTTGAGAGTGGGGGAAGAAAGTGTTAAAGGGAGAAGGAACCCATGGAAACCTTGCATACCACTACAGCTCCCACACCATCTTGGTCTTGTCACCAAGCCCTTCTGCACTTCAGGTGCCTTTTGGGACCATGGTGATATCAGTTATCCTGAACCTTAAACAGCCGGGGAGATGCAAAGTTACGAATGCTCACAAAGTTATTTGAGTTCTAGGGAGAGAAACAGGAAAATGCAATTATCCTGCTCTTGTTTCTCCCCTCCACCACCACAATAGTCATGACAAGAGCCATCTCCCAGTGGCCCCGGGCTACAGGATATATTATGAAAATCTAATGGACTGTCAGGAGGGATAAGGACCCTGGAGAGAGCCAAGCTCATTACTTACCTGATCTCCTTGTCGGTTTCTATAGCACCTGTCACACTCAAAGCCTGGCACACTGACAGGGAAGGTTGGTTAGGGGTGTTTATGACGGCTACAGAGATCAGACAAAAGGGAGGCTGTATCAAAACCACAGTTCTCAGCTATGGGATGACACCACACTCCTGTATGGTGATCAAGGGCGAGGCATGTCACAGGCAACTTGTTCCTTAGCAGGAATAAAGGAATCAAGTTTGCAAACAATTCACTTGATCTCCACATGGCTGCAGACACAGCCTATTCAGGTCTCATCTGCATCCTGACAGAGGCAGGGTTCATTTGGGCATGCTCCATAATCCTACTCACAGTCCCTAAGAGTGCTGGGTGTGCACTTCCTTCAAGCTTGTGGTCCTTGAGGAGAGTCTAGTTTGGTAAAAAGCTTCAGAATTATGATACATGTGATCTCATACAAGTGACTTAGCCACAGTTGTGCCAGTTTCCTCTGCTGGAAAAATAGGAGTTAAGGAAGAAAAATAGTGCTTGTCCATTTTGGTTAAGCCATGTAGAATGATTTAGAATACCTGGCTGGCTGGACAGTAGGTAAAACTTAGTCAATGCTGTTAGGAGTCGTGGAGATTATTCTAGTATGTTTCCTTGTTTGCTTCATTTCCCTTAAGTCCATTCTGGTTTTTGCAATGCTCAGTCCTATTTTGGGGAGTATGTTATACATGAGAGCACCAGATATTCCGGTGTCACTCAGGGTGAGGAGTGGGGTGAGATGGAAAGAACATGCTTTAGCGGCTAATGATTCTGTCTTTCATCCTCTAACATCCAGGGCCAAGCAGACAAAATTTCTGCTCTGCTTTGTGCTGAGGGTTAGTGGGCCAGATAAATAGTAGATGTGGCACCCTACTGCTCCTGGGCTTCCAGGAGTTTTTCTCACTCTAATCGCCTTCTCTTTGCATTGCAGGCAGCCGAGCTGGGGATGGTGTCAGCCTATTACACATACATCTTCACTAATCTGGTAAGACATTTTCGTAGCCCCCCTCACCTCCTTAGTGTAGTGTTAGCCAGGGTTAATGGGTCATGATGGGATGACGTCTAGAAGATGGCTCCTGGGGAATGGGAGGCAAAGGGAACAGAAACCAGCCACAGTGTCTGAACATTGTAATGACACAGGATCCAGAAGCTCAGTGGGATCCTCATGCCAACACTTTTAGACCTTTGAGAATGAGAATTTGGAGGCTCTGATGCCCCCATCCAAGTGTCTCTGGTTTTATAGCAGAGATTATTTGGGACAGCTGTGTGAAGATAAGCCTCCTCAGTGAGTACAGTTTCTGGCATGCAGTGGAGTTCCCCTCAACCACCATGATAACTCAGAAGGAGAAAAGTTAGGGCACAAGATGCATGCATGTCTGATGGTGGTATAACCAAATGTGTCCCTCCCCCAGGTCATCTTAGCTACAGCCCTTGTTTTACAGATGACAAAACTGGAATTTTATTGAACTTAATTGATTTAAGTACTATGTTTGTCAAAATACTAGCCACTTCAACAAAGCACTGAGCAGTGTGTGCTGTGCTTATCTGAATAGGAACCTGAATGGCTACATCACTGGCTTGTTGTCAAGTTATATGACAGCATACGTGGAAGCATTTTGAAATTGTAAAGCCTTAAGAATGTGAAAATTATTGTGGGTATATAGAATATACATACACACACACAATACATAGTATATATACATATATACACATATATATACATATATGTACATACATACATATAGATAGATATATAGATATAGATAGATAGATAGATAGAGAGAGAGAGAGAGAGAGAGAGAGAGAGATAATGTTGGGTCCTAATGTCTCCCTCAGGGGAGAGGGTGAGAAGATGTGGTGTCATTGGCACAGGCACCTGTAGTCAGGTAGAAGGGAAACAGCAAACAGCAGACTCATTTATTTACCAATGGGGGCATCTTATATACCCTCCCAGCACCCAGGCTTTCTGATCTGTTGACATCACATGGTGGCCCCTCATTGGTTAAGAATGATCAGGACCTCTGACAGTGCAAGGCAGACTCTAGGTTGGGTCATCTCTCAGCCTTGCAGGCCTCAAGTGTGTGTGTGTGTTGTGTGTGTGCGTGTGTGTGTGCGTGCGTGCGTGCGTGCGTGTGTGTGTGTGTGTGTGTGTGTGTGTGTGTGTGTGAGTGTGTGTGTGTATTCAATTCTTGAGTAGTCAGAAAATAAGAAAGCAAGCTTTAAAAAAATATCTGGAGCTGCAGTGATGCATCAGAGGTTAGGAACACATACTGGTTTTGCAGAGGACCCAAGTTTGGTTCCCTGCACCCACATGGGTGTCTAACAAGCATCTGTAACTCCAGCTCCATGGGCTCTGATGCCCTCTTCTGGGCTCTGCAGGCATCTGCACTCCCGTGCCCACACTAGCATAAAAACATATAATTAAAAATAAAATCTTTAGAAATGTGTAACTTTTACTTTAAGAATAATGATAGGATTTCTAAGAAGTTGCAAAGCTAGCTATGTATATTTGTTTGCCAACTTGACTCCCACAAGGCTTCCCTTATGCCATCCTCCATAGTCACACCTGCCACAATCTTCCCTACCATCTCTAACCCTTAGAAGCCACTGAGCTATGCCCTGTTTATCCAACGTTACCGTTTGAGGGAAGTTATACAGTGTGTGACACTCTGTGGCTGACATGTTCACTTGGAGAGTCCTGGACCCACCTGGGTGGTTGCATCTTCACAGCTGGGTAAGCTTCAGTGTTCATTGCACCAGTTTTCTCAGTTAACTGTGCATAGGCTGGGGGGGTGTTTTGGTTATCTTCAGTATGCTATTATAGACCATCATTCAGAGAGGAAGTTTATTTTGTTTTATACATCCTTGGCTGGGGGTAATTATGTATGACTTTTCTCACTGCTGTGACCAAATGCCCGGCAGCTTAACAGAGGATGGGTTTATTGTGGCTTCACCATTGGAGGGGACAGTCCATCATGGTGGTGTCAGGCTGGAGTGGTGGAGCTTTGCAGCATAGCCCATTATTCCAAAGATCAATGAGAAGAGGGGGGTCGTGCTGGAAGGTAGGCCAGGCTGTAATCCATAGGGCCCTCCCCTCAGTGAGCCGCTTCACCCAGCTGGACTCCCCACCTCCCAGGAACCGCAAAACTTCTCTAGTGTTCAAACACAAACTCTAGTGTTCAAAACTTCTCTAGTGTGGAGTTTGTACATTCAAGCAGTGCCTCTAGATACCCGCTTCCTCCAGACGTGACCCCTTTTGAGTTTTTCTTATAAACCAGGTACTGGCCAGGCATGAGGAATTGCAACTGGAATAAGAAACCAACCCTGGGCCTGGCAAGATAGCTCAGGTGGTAAATGCTCCTACTGGCAAGCCCTGTGACTGAGGCTGATCATGTGGTGGAAGGAGAGAACTAAGTCCACCAGTTGTATGTGTGTATTTGCATACACACAAGTCCCATAGCATGCGTGTGGAAGCTACACATACACACTAAATAAACAGAATGTTAAAAAAAAAAAAAAAAAGGAAGGAAGGAAGGAAGAAGAGTCTACCTTGTAAAAAACCAAAATACCTCTGACAGTAAAAAGTAGAAAATTCTATTACTAGATATGTTAGAGACTGCATCAGCTCTTTAGGCAGGGACTGCTTGCTCAACCTGGGGCAATGGGGGAACAGCTGCATTGAAGAAAGTTCTGGAAGAAAAGTAGAGTCCTTCTGTATACACAAGGAAAGGAAGAATGCGTGAGGATGAGGCACTGCATCCTCAGTTACTTGGACATAGGATGGTTCATGGTATGTCTAAGAAACAGTGAGGGCATTTACACTCATGCATCCCCAGGGATATGAGCTTACTTATTTCTTATCCACTATCTGTTGACCCCCTTCTTTGAAAATGCCCAGCAAGTGGAAAAAGCCTTACTAAGTTAAGGAACAGAATTTAGCCTCACAACTTGGACTCTTCAGCCCTATAAAGAGAAGGGTTGCTTGTTAGTAAGGACCTTATTGCTGACTGTGTGCATAGGATGATTTAGAAGGCTATGAAGTCTCTCTCCTGGGACCCTGGGGCCAGGTCTCCTCAGTGGTTCTGTAGTATTTAAGAGAGCTTGCCTATAGAGACCATTCACTGCAGGTACCATGGACAGCCCTCTCTTGCCGCTGCTGTGGAATTGTTAACCCTGATACATTGGTGACCCAAGTTTCCAGAATTGAAAGCCTATAAAGGAATTGGGGTTTGTTGTATCTGTTTCTACTTTAGTAGCACAGGCTGGCCTCAGAGCTCATGATAATCCTCCTGTTTCAGCCTCCTGAGTGCTGGGATTAGAGGCGTGTGTCCCAATGCTTAGCCCATGGGATTGCTTATTGAAGTCTGGTGTACTTACTGAATGTATATGCATAGAGCAAAGAGCTGTCTCCAAGTGAGCACACCTGTGCCAGCAGCCTCTGCATCTAGAAATAGAATATCACCAGCACCCCAGAAGCCCTCCCACCCCCCTCAAAATGTAAAATAGAATGAGCTGAATTCCTTTGTTTGCCATGTTTGGTTTTTTTTTTTTTTTTTTTTTTTTTCCCCTCTATCTAACACTGCAGCTGTAAATCAGAGAATTAACATGTAAAAGGGGAGAAGAGGATTAGGCTGTTCCCACAGCAATGCAAATGGGTTTGCTTAAGGTGAGGAGGCATCTGGGGCAGCCTGGGCAAGCTGGTAAGAGAGGAAAGAGATGAAAGTACAGTGCTTCTTTCTGAGAATGGGGTGGGGGTGGGAACAGAGAGGAGAGGGAAGAAAGGCGGGCAGATGGGGGTGAGGTTGCCTGTGCTGTGCCAGCCTGCCAGGGAGGCACCTTGGACTAGGCAGCACTAAGGATGGAGCTGGGAACCTCTGTGTCTGGAGCCACTCAGCAGACAGAAGAAAGGCGTTCTGAGATAGATGGAGTTGTGGCTTGGGTGTTTAGGAAGACAGCATCCACCATACTGTTTATCATCCTTCTCTCCTCTTGGAGGGTGACAATGTTCTCTAGTTGGAAAAAATGCACTGTCAAATCAGGAGCCGCAGGTACCAAGTCCTCTCTCTTCCTTGTCCTCCCGGGATGACTTTAGATGAGCCGCACGGACTCTCAGGGCCCCCATTTTCTCATTTTGGAGATAACAACCTCATGATGTTGCTATGCATATGCAACAAACTGTATGTGCAAAGCCTTCTGTGTCCTCAAGGAGCTGTATTGTTTTACATAGTAGGAGGATGCTTCTGTTGTTCAGAGCTTTCCTCCTTGTTTGTGGGCATGGCATGAGACTAGCTCTCCACTCTGCCTCAGTCAGAGTCTTTTGCACCTGAAATTAACAGGACTCATGCCTGACTGTGAGTCTTCAAGGGAGAAGCAGACATCTCATCATTTGAGTGATGCTGTCTGGGAAACAGTCAAGAAACAGAAGCAGGAACACTGCAGAAGCCAACCAGTGAGTGAATGTTCTGGAAACTTTTCATTAGTGCCTTGGCTTTCCAGCAGGACCAGGTCCAGTAGGAGTTTTAGGACCACACATGCTGCCTGGAGTTTTCTGAGTTTGGCAGCAGAGCAGAAGGGCTCAGCAGTAGAGAAGCCATCTTTTGCATTCTCCATCTCCATCCTCCACAGCGATGCACCTGGCTTTCCTTCTTCCTCTCTTCCTCTCTCAGGTCCTCAGGGAACCCCAATCTTGGCCTTCTCTCTGGCTTCTACTACAGTGATGTGAGTTCTCAGATCTGCCTCCTGAAAACCAGCATGGAGAACCAGAAAAGACCCAGACCTGAGTATTTGATAGACAGGCCTTTAACCTTCTAGTGTGAGCAGCTACCAGCTGTGCAGACTACTTAACCTTTCTGAGTTCTGGTGACCTCTTCTGTCAGTGGGCCCTATATCTAGCTCAGGAGAGCAATTGGCTCACAATATGGGTTTAATAAAGGGACGTTATTATGGTAGAGAGTCTTGGCTTTGCTTCTGGTGGATTAAAAGGAA